AAATTGTCTGGCAGTTTCTCATGATACATTAAAAACATACCATTTGAGGGCTAACGGGTGGCACGATGGTTAAAGTGATGGACTCCCACATGGTTGACTACGGTTCAAGTGCTAGACTTGATGGCTTGCTTTCTCACTTTCTTTCTCTCTTGCTTGCTCTCTCTCTGTATTTTTCTGAGGAGCACATGTGCCCTGTCGAGTAATAATAATAATGATGATCATAAATAAATAAAATTAAATGAATAATTCTTAAAAAAAAAAAAACCCACTCAGCTATACCTCTTCTAATGTAGAGGTGGGCATGTAATATAAAATAGGAGAAATTTCATTTGAAAATATGAAAGAACATTTGTTGATCAAGATGATCACACATTAAAATGTTTGCCCAAGGAGGTTATAGAGTATCTGAACAGATCTCTCTCTCTCTCTCTTTTCCTTTTCAGCTTATTTATTTCTATTCATAACAGGGAATATGTGCACATACATGAGAGAAACACACCCTTGATAGGGTCTTGTCAGGTTACGACCCTCTTCTTCCAGTCCACTAGCTCATCAGAATCTTGGCAGGCACTCCTGGTGTGCTTTTAGGCCAGGAGTCTGAACCCAATGTCAGCCGTGTGGCTTCCAGCCCAGCAATTCAGTTTGCTACCAACTGTGCCACTAAGCTGGGCCTATCTGTGTGGATCGTCATGAAGAGGATTGAATTTTCCCGCAACGATATGGGGCCAGCTTGTTTGTCTAAAGTTCAAGTTCTGGCATTTGCTGGAATAAAAATCATTGTTTTATTTGGTATATATCACATTACTGAAGTTTGCAGTTCTTAAAAGCACTTGAAACGGTGTCAATTGATGTCTTTGTGCAGATAGACTTAGTCCACTTACATTTTTGTTTCCTTTTCTCTTTTCCTGCCTTCTCTTAGATTTACAAGTCTTGTCCAACCCTCACTCCCGCTCGTTTGAGAAGCTCTAGGTTGCATTTCTATTCTTAGCAGCAGTCACCTGGAAATTTTTAACATGCATTGTACGTACATTTTCTAGCAGGATCTAAAGTTACTCAATGTTTCTCTTCTTAACACATCTGCTTTATTACCATCCAAGCCTGCTTTAACCACTTACTAAACACCTCTGAACTCTGCTTATGTGAATCTTATTATCTTTGTCTTAGAGTTTAAATTTACCACATTTTTTTTTCTTTGAGTGAGCAATTTTATTGAAACCCTCAAATATTAAAGAGGACTAAATGATGAGTTTGGGTACCATAACAAAACCTCACCTAACTGTGCCATCATTCATAGGAATGAACAAACAGAAACATGACACAATTCAAATTCTCATGTAATTGCTAAAATGAATGTAAATGAACTAATAATTTTAGCATAAACTTCCTTTAGTTACATGAAAAACGAAATTTACATGGCATAGCAAAATATATACAAAACTTGGGGCCAGCAGGTGGCATGGTGGTTAAGGCATGGAACTCCCACATGGCTAACTGCAGTTCGAGTCCTGGACCTCGTGGTTTGCTTTCTCACTTACCCTCTCTCTCTCTCTCTCTGTCTCTCTCTGGTGAGCACACACGTGTCCTGTAGCAAATAAAATAATAATAATAATAATAATAGATTAAATTAAATAAGTAATTATCTTTTAAAAATATATGTGAAACTTAATGAAAACAAAATTCTCTTAAATGTCTCAAGCTTATGTCTAAAGGATGTAGAATGCACTTAAAATGATTAAATGATTTAAACTGTTTTTTTTTTTTTAATTGCAAACTGTTTTAAATATCAGCTTAATTCCCATGGCTGGTGTTAAAAAAGAATGCAGCTTTTGAATTAAAAAGTTCACTTAAAATAAGGAATTCAGTACTAAAACTAGGGTTTCTTTTGAAAGGAACCTTCAGGTACCAATATGCATAGAGAAAGAATATGAAGTTTGGTTACATTCCCCCCTCACTATTAATATTCAAATATAATACCTTTCAAAATAAAATACTCACATAAGATAACTTCAATAGGGGCCAGCAGGTGGTGTAGTGGTTAAGGTGCTGGATTCCTACGTAGCTGACTGCAGTTCAAGTCTCAGACCCGGAGGCTTGAAAACATGCTGGCCACGTTTGTAAGTGTGTCCCACATCCTGAGAAGAGAAGAGAGAAGAAGTGATTGTAGCGTGGTCATCCCTCCGGGGCTGATTTCTTACTTTCCCTCCCTCTGAATCGGTTTGTCTCCTTGCCAGCAAGCGCATGTGCCCTATGACAAAAACTGAAAATAAAATCAATCAATAAATATAACTTTAATTCGAAATATTTGAACTGAAACTTGGAAGAACATTAAAGAAGAAAATGTGCTGGGCCAACAATGTTTTAATTTATAGTCATTCAGACATTTGGTTCTTCTTATAGAGTCCAGGTTCTCTCCCGTTGGTCCCCAAGGTTAGCATTCAGCTTGTTGTGCTCTTGAGACAACCTGTAATAATTTCACTTAGAGGCAAAACATCTTGCAATGCCATAACGAACCACGGGGAAGAGAAGCAGATGCTCTGGAGAAAGGTTAAATGAGAAACACAAAATCACCAACTGAAAAGATTTTTTTTTTCATATAACGGAATGCTGCACCCATTTCACTTATGGATAGAAATCCAGGTTAAAGGCTCTGGGCTGTACTCCTCCCCATGACTCTCAACCACATGTGACATATCTGAGTACTGCAATCAGCCTGCTTGTTGGGTGATTCTGTGACACTCATTACATAGAAACCTAATATAAATTAAACAAGATTGAATCCATTTATAATGTAACTAGTTTTATTAAAATAATTTTAAAAAACATTTCCCTGAGGTTCTCTTTTTCTTGGTGTTTTATTAGCAACTCTTGATATTTTCATAAATTTACCACTTTCAAAAATTATTTATTTTATTTTATTTTTTATTATTATTTACTAATTTGCTACAGTTACCAGAAAGAGATAGAGAAAGAGAAAGTAAGAAAGCAAGCTGCCAGGTCCAGAATTTGAACCATGGTTGGCCATGTGGGAGTCCAGCACCCCAATCACCATGCTACCTGCTGCCCCCAATTTACCACTTTTTAAATACATTAACAAAGTATTTTTGAAACTAATAGATAATTAAATGTACTTATTTAAAATAAAAAAACACTATTAAAGAAATTCCTGAGAATCTCTTTTCTAAGACTAGATGAGAGGCTTTGCTCGCCAAACACACAGTAGGTAATTAACACATAGCGCCCTCCCACCTTGCCTCACCCACAAGCGAACAGTTGTTCAAAGCTAGACTGAGTGCTCAGCAGGCGTGGATTCCTCAGGTCAGATCCATTTCATGGACAGTTGTCAGACTGGCCTCTCTTTATGTTCGTTTTCTGAACACTGTACTTGACTGTGTAGCAAGCTAAGCGGTGCAGGATTAGATGTTCTCATTTCTGAGCTGTGAAGTGTTGAAACTAATCAGGAAATGTCTATCCTCTGGGAGAAGAATCAGCCAGTCTATGTAACTGCAGCTCTTGGCTGCCAGTTGGAATGCAGCTGTTAAAGCAGCTGTTTAACTGTTTGCCTAACTTGAAAGGACACTGCCAAGTGGCAAATATTTTTCATAACAACATTCTACTTTTGCTAAGAACGATAAGAGTGCATTTTACTGAGCTCTAGCAGTGCACCAAACCTGGCAGATTTATTACTCAGCAGGTTCACAAACTAGACTGAATATGATGCTCATTTCCATGTTTAGTGTTTATAGAAAGAACAAATGGGCTCCCAAAGGAAGCCTCTACACAAAACATCTCTACAGCTTGGTTATTTGTTGAAAAGATAGCACATAGCTGCTATTTTGAGAAAGTAGAATATCTCTGAAAGGAAAAAAGAAAATCTAGAAATGTCAAAGGGAGAAAAAGGTTTAAATAGTTTCAATCTCTCTAATCTGCCCTAAGAGTGACTTTACTCACACTTGTCCAGGACAGTTGAGGGCAGCAGTAACACATAGAACTAGACATCTACCGAATCTCTTGCAATTCATGTGGTCCAGGACTACTGGGTCATGTAGTTAGTCTAAATTGATCATGAGAATATCGACACTGAGGGGCTGGCAGGTGGCATGGTGATTAGGGGTGCTGGATTCCCACAACTGTGGTTTGAGTCCCAGACATGGCAGCTTGCTTCCTCACTTTCCCTTTCTCTCTCTCTCTCTGGCTCTCTCTCTGTCTCTGACTGGTCAAATTGAAAAATAAAAATAACAAGTGGAATTGAATAAATAAATAAATCTTTAAAAAAACAGAATATTGACACTGAGTTCTTAGCAAACACGTTGAATCTGACAAAGTGTGGACTAGGCAGGATGGGGTGGGAGGTTATCAAGTATTTTTTGGTCAGATCGGAAGGTCAAATTTGGACAGTCAAAATTAAGAAAACATTCAAGTACATAATTTTCTTCCAAACCCAAATGTGCATGGATCATCATGTTAGATAGTTCTCCACCCTTGCTATATCTTCCCAAGCCAGAAACTTGTAACTTCCAAAAGGCTTACAGAGAAATCCTCTAAGTATGTAGAGAGATCTTGTACACACCCATTGTTTGTTCTAGTTGAGGTGAGACTAGAAGTTAGAATAACTGCCATTCACACCATTTAGTATTTTTCCCCTGCAAGCCTTTGTGAAGACTATAAATGGGGTGGAGGGATGCATTCTCATCTAATAAACCCCCACATTAAAGCTGGAACAGACATCTTGGAAGGTGAATTGGGCTGAACAAAGTCATAGTCAATGGAGATTCTAACCTACCTTTTCTCTACTAGTTATATTAAGTGGTAATTAAATGATAAATGATAGCAATTTAATCTGCCTGTTTATTCAAATTGCAAAAGCATACATTTCCACAAACTTGACATGATTTCTTGGACCAAGTTGGATAAAATCACACCCTTTGGATAAAGGAGAGCGAGGGAGTCAGCCATAAGCCTTGTGGTCCTTATTTTTCAGGGAAAAGGAGCAGATGCAAACCATGGATGAAATGTATAAGTTCACTTCCACAGAAAGGATCCAGCTGTTGGAGAAGGAACTGGCTGTGCGGTTGACAGAACTGAAGTCTGAGGTAGAAGACCAGGGGAGTCTTCAGGCCACAGCTCGTGGAGCTTATAGGTAAATAGTGGCAGCAGGGAGGTGTGGCCCTCTGGAGCTTCCTCCCCGTTCTTACTCTGTAATCTCCATCAGCCCTCTTCTTCTTCTTCCATGGACAATTGCCAATGTCACAAACTCAGGTAAATGATACACTATGGGAGTTTAAAATACCTCTTCCTAACCAGACTGCTGCCCCTAAGTTTTCCCTGTGTTCTAGAACTGCTAAGGCAGATCCAGGCAATAATGAAAGTAGGAAAGTGCTCTCACACATTCTCAAATGCTATCTTCTTTTGTACTTGTTTTTGCTGTTGCTATAGGGTCCATACGCTTGCCAGGGAGAGACAGCCAGAAAGAGAGAGAAAGGGAGAAATCATGCCCCCTCCCCAAGCAGGTATGACTACCCATTCCCTTTTCCGCCATTCCCTTTCAGAAACTTTTTTTTTTTTTCTTAAGTTTTTGCTATAGTATGCGTACACTTGCTGGAGAGAAACTGTGAGAGGAAAACTGAAAAGTCACCCCCTGGAGCGTTGGCTATGCTGCAATTCCTTCTCCATTCTTCTCCTGGGACTTACAGCATGCATGCACATGCACCCAGCATGATTTTCAAGCTGCCAGGTCCAAGACTTGAACTGCAGTCGCCCATCTGGGAGTCTAGGGCTGTAACCACCATGCCACCTGCTGGCCCTATCTTCTTGGGATTTGGACGCCACAATGCATACATGTCTGGTGTGATTCTCAGGCTGCCAGGCCCAGGACTCAAACCACATGGTTGGTCATGTGAGATTCAGCACCTTAACCTTTACGCCATCTACTGCCCCCTCCCCCTTTAAGTTTATTTCTTTTTTTTTTTTTTTTTTTTTTTTTTATTTCTTTTTTTAATTTTATTATCATCATAATCTTCTTTCTATTACACTAGATTACATATAACTTTACATTGACTTCCATTGCTTTTTCAAGAGGGAATGCCATGCATGTCAGTCAATACAGAGATATCAATCTCCCCGCTTTATCATTCAATATCTTTTCCATGCTTTTCCCAATAATTATTATTATAATTTTTTAAACAGTCAATCACTATTTCTCATTTTGCTTATTAAAAAGACTTCACCCATCATGAAATACTTTCCAGACCGGTTCAGTTGAGAATACTATACATGTCATCATCAACAGGTAATAAACCATATCTATTTCTCATTAACATCCTGCCTCTCTATTGTTCACTGCTGTCTTTATCCTCTTCTCCCTCCTTTTTTTTTTTTTATACTTTGTTTTTTATTATAAATTTTTTCTCATCACAACACACATATGAATTTTCCATCCAAAATACACTGTGCATTGGCTCAATCAAGCACATCAACATATATGTTCTCAGCAAATGATTTCCCAATTTTTGTGTCCTGCATACCTTGCCTTTTGTTTTGCCATCCTAGGTTCCCCATCCCCACCCTCTGCCATGTCCCATCTTCCTCCTCCATTGTCCCTGACATTCATGATTGCCCTCAATGGCTTCCGCCCCCCCC